TTTAAGTGAATTTCCTAAAAATGGATGAGAGAATTTAGGAAGGTTTCCAAAAAAAATGGATAAGAGAATTTAGGAAAGTTTCCTAAAAATAGATGAGAGATTTTAGGAAAGTTTCCAAAAAAATGGATGAGAGAGTTTAGGAAAATTTCCTAAAAATGGATGAGAGAATTTAGGAAAGTTTCCAAAAAATAGATGAGAGACTTTAGGAAAGTTTCCTAAAAAGGTATGAGGGAGAGTGTCCAAGTGAGAACAAAGAGTTATCCAAGTGCTTTACTTAGTTTCCTAATTGATTTTGGAAACAAGTTAGTTTTTGGAAACCTTTTGAAAATCACTTTTCCTCTTGAACAACTTTTGGTAACCTTCTTGAAACAACTTTTGGTAATCTTCTTGAAACAACTTTTGGTAACGTCCAAATTCTACTCCAAGAAAGATTGCACAAATCAGATTTGGTTCCATATTCAAAACAATTCGGTTGCCCCTTTCTTTCCTTTCCCTTTTTTTTTTCTCTTGCCAACCGATTCCTCTTTTCTTTCCTTTTTTTTTCGTTTTTGTTTTCTGTTTTTTTTTTCTTGACTACAACTATCAACCACGACACAAAACAAGGAAGTCCACAAATAATAACTACCAAGAACTCCAAGATATTTCAAGAACTTTCAAAGAAGTTGTCAGGAACTTCAGAAATTTCAAGATTGTGGTCAAGAATTCAAGAAGCTCAAGATTATTGTAAGTTCTCTTCAAGATTCACAAAATTCCAACAAGTTTTGCCAAAATCCAGATTTGAAAACCAAGTAAACAAGTTGGATAACACAAACAACAAGGCTGGACCGATTTGTATTCTGGCTCTGATACCAACTGATACGTTCCTCGATCAACACGTTTCGAGACACGTAGCACGTTTGCCCAAGGATCTAGCGAGGATGTCCAACGCTTGGAATTGCGGGATCTAGAACCAAACGGACGACACGATTTGATTCAAGACGGTAGACGACACTCCGATGAAGGTGAATACTCCAGGGGAATAGGTCGGTAGAACAATCTAGGACAGGACGCAAGACTGCTCAAAACCCTTGCCAAAGCAAGTAAAGGGGTCGAATCTCTCTCTCAAGAAGAATCGAAAATACGCAAAACTTTATTGATAAAACGTCTACCCTAAAACCTTACAAAGCAAGCCTATTTATAGGCTAAAGTGACTGAAATCCTAAAGGGACTAGGAAAGGGAAAAGTCGGCCCAAGGTCTTGGGACAAGATGGGCCGGCCCATGCTCTTACTTAAACACTAATCAATTGCTAAATAGCTACTAAGGCCTAAGGCCCTATTCGGCCAACTCATTTGGAGGCCCACTTGAGTCTTCATGGGCTTGGGTCATGGTGTAGATAACTCGATTAAAATCCTTCAAGCCTTCAATATCTCTATGGACTCCATGTTGGTTTTGGACAATTCGAACAAGGGCTTGGAGGGATTCTTTGAAGAGCTTGCCTCGTGCACGTGTGACTGGGCCCAATGGAACTCGGACTGGGTCATTACTTGGGCTAAGGTCCGTGCACACATCAGTCCCCTCCACTTGAGCAGGATTTGTCCTCAAATCTGGATGGAAATGAATGACATGAACAAGGGTTGGTATCATGGCTCCAGTGGCTCCTCTTGTTCGTATCATTCCCCCCCTCTTGAAAGCAATTTGCCCACAAATTGAAGCACGAATGGTGACAAGACGAGTTACATGCCTTCGACTCAATCTTGTTATGATGGCTACAGATGGCATCCAATGCAAAGCCCATGGGCTAAGTTGGAGCATAAACCTTGTCGAGCCTTGAATCTCACAAACCATCTTCAATGTATGCTCAACTTGATCGTTTGTGGTCATGAGGTAAGGGTCCTCAAAGTGGTATGAAGTGTATCCCATGAAATCGAACTCCGGCTCGAACACACTTGCAAGGCACCAAGGCGGATTTGGTGATGTTGGAGCTTCATGTGGACTAAGAGCAAGACGAAAATCATAATGGTCATTGAGGTACTTGTTCTTTAAACGAACCCTTGGTACACAACGATCCCCAAAATGTGGAGTGTTCCCTTCAAGACGAGCTCGAATCAACTCCCCTTTGGTGTGGACTGATTTGGGTTGACATTGTTCCATGAATTGATACCAACGGGGTTTAACTCTTGGAGTGCCAACTCCATGGAGGCTTGCAAAGTCTACAATTGATTTTGGAATGGAACACACCAAGATCAACTCAACTTGCCTTTGCTTGATCTGTATAAAAGTAGAAACACTAAACAAAGCGAAGGTAAGTTCGTTAGGAAAATAATAGGCCTTCACCGGGTTGCTCAAGATCAGCCCACTTTCTCTCCTTTCTTCCTTTTTACCACCCATCTCATTAGATTTTTCCATCTCTTTTTCTAGTTCAACAGCTGACCCTTTCATCTCATTATTTTCAACTCCCTCGGGTTTTACCTCTTCAGGCACAATTCCCTCATCTAGCTTTTTCTCCATTCTATAACGCTCAATCTCACTTTTCATGCATGCTAGATCAATACAAAGTTGGTCATAAGTAAGTGATACAAGTGCAAGACGACGACTATTAAATAAGAAGGAATACTTATTAGTATGTCCGTCATATTTAATTTCTCGCCTCGACATCCATGCTTTGCCCAACAACACATGTGTCACTTGAATTGGGACTATATCACACAACACCTCATCCACATATTTGCCGATTTGAATAGGTACAAGTGTGTACTTAGTAACCCAAACATTACCATGAGTGCTCGTCAACTTGTATGGTTGAAGATGATCAATGGTTGGAAGATTTAATTTCTCAACCATGATAGCACTTGCAAGGTTGACTTCACAACTCCCATCAATGGCCAAGCTACAGATTTTATCTTTGACACCACAACGAGTATAAAACCAACCAAGCAACTGAGATTTGACGATGTCCAATTGCTCATCTACACCATGTAATGCCACTTCTTTGACTCCCTTAGGATCAGGAAGCCAATGTGGTGAGCTAACTTTTATGCGTCTTGTACTCGCCATGAATGTATGAGGGAACCTGCAAAAGTTAGTAACAAAACCGAAGATATTGTTTTTCACGCTCCCTTACGTGTTTTCTCTCGACACTCGTGTATCACTCACAATTACTCACTCTAATGGACTTACCAAATACCTTTACCTGTTGGGTTAGGTAGTTGAGAAAGGCCGCTCAAGTCCAATAAATGTCACCAACTTCTTCCTCAAGAGTAATCACGGAGATGTAGGAGAAAGTGTAGGGAAGTGTTCCTAAAAACTAGGAGAAAATATAGGAGAAAGTGTAGGAGAGTGTTCCTAAAATCTAGGAAGAGAATATAGGAGAGTTTCCTAAAGTAGATGAGAGAATATAGGAGAGTTTCCTAAAGTGGATGAGAGAATATAGAGAAAGGTCCTAAAAATGGATGAGAGAAGTTTAGGATGAGTTTCCTAAAAATGGATGAGAGAATTTAGGAAAGTTTCCAAAAAATGGATGAGAGAGTTTAGGAAAATTTCCTAAAAATGGATGAGAGAATTTAGGAAAGTTTCCAAAAAAATGGATGAGAGAATTTAGGAAAGTTTCCTAAAAATAGATGAGAGACTTTAAGAAAGTTTCCAAAAAAAATGGATGAGAGAGTTTAGGAAAGTTTCCTAAAAAATGGATGAGAGAATTTAGGAAAGTTTCCAAAAAAAAAATGGATGAGAGAGTTTGGGAAAGTTTCCTAAAAAGGTAGGAGAGAGAGTGTCCAAGTGAGTACAAAGAAACCCTAGTCGCAAGTAGACATCCTAGCCGCAAGTAGAAAACCCTAGCCGCAAGGATAACCCTAGCAAGATAAGGAAACCCTAGCAGCCGTCACGTTATTGTTCTTGCTGCCCAAGCGACAACCAACTAACGAGACAGATTTGGGAGCAACGTTGAAACACCAACAACCAGAATTTTTGATGCAACAAACGACTCAAACGCAAGAAACAAGTTGTGGACAGAAATTATCAACAAACTAGACACAACACAAAGGAGATAACACACCAACAGATTTTTGTGTTCGGATGAATAGTAACGTGAACAGTGTCGGATGAACAGTGACGTTGTTTGTTTTTTTTTTTGTTTTTGTTTTGTAAACAAGGCAGCGGAAACAAGGAAAACTAAGACAAAACTACGGATATAACGGAAGATACCTCCACCAAAGCTCTGAAGCCAACTGATACGTTCCTCGATCAACACGTTTCGAGACACGTAGCACGTTTGCCCAAGGATCTAGCGAGGACGTCCAACGCTTGGAATTGCGGGATCTAGAACCAAACGGACGACACGATTTGATTCAAGACGGTAGACGACACTCCGATGAAGGTGAATACTCCAGGGGAATAGGTCGGTAGAACAATCTAGGACAGGACGCAAGACTGCTCAAAACCCTTGCCAAAGCAAGTAAAGGGGTCGAATCTCTCTCTCAAGAAGAATCGAAAATACGCAAAACTTTATTGATAAAACGTCTACCTTAAACCTTACAAAGCAAGCCTTTATATAGGCAAATACTAATGAAACCCTAAACCCTAATATCGAAAAGCTAGATGGTTGGCCACTCCTTGGACAAGGTGGGCCGATCCATGGACTCAATAAAGAAGGGCCTAGTGGTTCGGCCATCCTTAGACAAAGGTGGGCCGAATCCATGGCTAACAAAAGGACTAATCTAAACTTAAGACTCCTAACACTAAGGCCTAATCGGCCATAGCCCGCTTGGCTCTTCACGGGCTCTCTTCATGGGCTTGGATCATCGTGTAGACAACTAGGTTATCACCTTCTAAGTCTTCAATGTCTCGATGAACTCCTTGTTGGTCTTGAACATTCCGTACAAGGGCTTGGAGTGATTCCCTGAATTGCTTGGCCCGTGCACATGTGACTGGGCCCAGGTCCGTGCACACATCACGTTTCATTCAGGGGCTAAATGTGAAAATCCAAAAGGATTTAGCCGTGACCCAGATTAACACTTTTAGTGATATGGTGGATAAGGCTTTGCGAGCCGAGAACGCAAGGCTTCAAGTTCGGAATTTTCAAGTGAGGAAACGTGGGTTTTCCGGAGGTAGTTTTACGCAGGGGGATAAGAGTACCCCTCCTAAATTTGGCCGTGGAGCTGGAGGAGGACGAGTTCCGGGTACGGCAAGAGGGACTCAGCGAAGAGGTGGCCAGACTGGACGAGGCCAACAGAGAAGTACCTCACAAGGGAGCTCCGCCACTGTTTCTCGTGGCCCGTGTGGGTTCTGTGGGAAGCCGAACCACACGGAGGATAACTGTTGGAGAAAGGAGAAGAAGTGCTTACGTTGTGGGAGCGCGGAGCACCAGATAGCCAGTTGTCCAGTTCAACCCCGAGAGGCGAGAGGGATCACACAATCTTCTAAGGCGACTTCAGCGCAATCAAAGGTGGAAGTGACGAAATCGAAGGTGCCTGCCCGAGCGTACTCTATCGAGCAACGTCCTATCCCTGATTCGGCGGAGGTGGTGGAAGCTACGATTCCTGTCTTCCACCATCTAGTTAGGATTTTGATAGACCCCGATGCCACCCATTCCTTTGTTAACCCTGCATTTATGTGTGGAATTGATATAACCCCTGTAAACCTGCCCTACGAACTGGAAGTAAGTATGCCTACGGGGGACCAGTGTTTGGTTACTAGCAAAATGTATGTAAACTATGAAATCTGGGTAAGAGAGAGGAAGTTGCTGGGGAATTTGATAAGTTTGGCTATTAAGGGGTACGATGTGATTCTGGGCATGGATTGGTTAGCTAGGTATGATGCCCAACTTGACTGTAAAAAGAAAATAGTGGAATTTCGTATTCCGGGGGAGGCGACCATAAAGTTAGATGTGAGGGGCAGTTTAGCCTCGTCTGCAATGGTTTCGGGTATTCGGGTTGGGAAACTTTTGAGTAGAGGGGCACGAGGGTTCTTAGCCTTTCTCATCAACACTCCCACCGATAAGTTAAACGTAGAAGATGTTCCAGTAGTGGGCGAATATTCGGACGTGTTTCCCGATGAGCTAGTGAATCTACCACCGCAAAGAGAGATAGAATTTGAGATTAACTTGTTACCAAAGACTTCACCTATCTCTAAGACCCCATACCGTATGGCACCTGCTGAACTTAAGGAGTTGAAGTTGCACTTGCAAGACCTTTTAGAGCGGGGTTTTATCCGTGAGAGTGGATCTCCTTGAGGAGCACCCGTTATCTTTGTTAAAAAGAAGGACGGGACCTTGAGATTATGTATCGATTACGGAGGGTTGAACAACGTAACCGTTAAGAATAAGTACCCACTACCCCACATTGATGAGTTATTTGACCAGTTTCAAGGTGCCGTGGTCTTTTCAAAACTGGACCTTCGACAGGGGTACTACCAATTATTGATCCGAAAAGAAGATGTGCCTAAAACTGCCTTCAATTCTCGGTATGGGCATTTCGAATTTGCCGTGATGCCCGTTGGACTAACCAATGCCCCTGCCGCTTTTATGGACTTGATGCATCGAGTTTTCAAACCCTACCTGGACCAATTTATCGTTGTGTTTATCGATGACATTTTGGTCTACTCGAAAACCCGGGAGGAGCATTTGCAGCACCTGAAATTAGTCTTGGAAACCCTAAGGGATCACCAATTATACGCCAAATTTAGTAAGTGTGAGTTTTGGCTGGAGAATGTGTCACAGCCCCACCTCCCCCTAAGGCAAACCAGAGGGTTCGGCGGGCCGCCTGCCCAGCTCTCGCCGGGACTCAGTCGTTCACTACAATCCTCAATTGAATTTCAAGATATATATATCAAAGGTTCCCAAACTTTACAGATCAAAAGCGAAGCGTCCACGCTTCCGCAGCGCAACTCTGATCCTTGAACACAATTAGTATACAGGAGGAAGTCCAAAACTAGACTATTACACATCCAATCAATTCTAAACGTTCTAAACGTTCAATACAATCCCAATATGAATGATTACACAAAAGGAAATCAAAGTTCAATCCATACATGAAATAATCCATGAATAAACGCTACAAGCCCTTCCTTCGCCTTGAGCCCTGTGGAGGGGAATAAAACATTTTTGGGGTGAGCTAGAAGCTCAGCGAGTAACCAGTAAAATCAGTAATCAAATCGGTTCAACCATAGTTCATTTCAATGATGTTCAATTCAAATCAAATGATAAGTCCAGAAACAATTTCAACATTTACAAAACATTAAATATGGAGTATCAATAATTCAAGAAACATTTACAATGGAAAGCGATAGTAACATTCATGAAAAGGATACGTTCGTTCTCCTGTCATTTCATTGCATTTTTGGTTTCATTCGTGCATTCAGTCACCCCGTCCCTGGCTTTTGGCCAGGCTCCACCAATCTACAAGGTAATACTCGAGTATACCGAAACGTTCACCCAAGTTCCTAGTCGCCCGACCGAGTCCGCTTCTGGCTCGAGACGACCGGTAACAAGGGGCAATGGCCAGTTCAGCCCAAAAGGCTTACATTCATGCGCAAGTAGCATTTAATCACTAATCATTGAAAATTTCATATTTATTTAGGTCGAGTGCGATAAAGTACACACTCGCCTAGAAAACTCGTTTTAACAATCATTGAAAGCAAAATAAATAATAACAAGACACTAAGATGCAAGCACGCATGATATGTAAGAAAACAGTTCCAAAAGTAACTTTGAAAACAGTTCAAAAGTAGATAATGCAGGAAAGCGGTTCAAAAGTAAATTTGGAAACAGTTTGAGGTCACTCACCTCCATGGCTCAGAAATCATCCATCAAATATCGTTGCCTTGCTCAAATCCAAGTCTTAAATCACAAACTCAATGCAAACGAGTTCCTTCAAAGTTCGGACAGCACTTCCCCTGAATTTGTTAACTTTTCCAGCCATCATGGCTTCATTACTTCCTCAAATCAGTCCCAAAGGTACACACACAACAACAAGTTCATCCAATAGCCATTCAGCAAGCTCCAAGTAGTACTAGTACAAGTCCAGCTAGGGAAAAGTCCGGAAATGAAAGTTTAGCTCAAACCAGAAAAACAGTTTTGACGTCATTTTGCGGTAATGGTACCAAAGGCGGTACGATTGTCGGATGAAGGTACAAGACCCACCGTTTCGAAGCTAAGAGATAGGGCTACAACAATGTAGAAGGCCACTCAGTCCAAATCCTAGCATAACTAGGTCAAATATGCAAAATACCAAACCAGAACCGTAATTGCAGGTTTACAAATCACACTATGCTGTAATCAGTACAACTCAGTCTAAACAGGTCCAAATGCAGAAATTCCAAAGGCATATGGTAGCTAGGACATCAAGATACATTTAATCAGAAGACCTCAACACCCAAATCCAAAACAATTCCAGTCAAAACAACCCATTTCAGACGCAGTTCTAACATCCTGATGAACCCAGAACAGCAATAGTAATTTCGGATTATCTCATTCTACACTACTCCAATTGACCTGAAATGTTACAGGCACCTTTAAAACATCAATACCTACAACTTTCATGTTTTGAGCTAAGGCCAATTCGGCCTCTATCTAGGACCTAAAATTTCGGACAGAATGAAGAACCAAGAACCCTAATTTTCCAGAATTTCTTCCAAAACAGAAATTGATTGCAATTGCCAATCATTTACACTTACTAGAGTCATTCTAGGCCATTGCCAATCTTCATACAAGGCCACAACAACATGATCACATTAAACCAGAAAATTCATCGATAAATTGAAAACTTCACCAATTCATCTCAAACCAAGAAATAAATCACAAATTTCAACACTTTAGCCACCACTAGGCACAAATTAAACATCATTAAGTGTAGGAGGATATTCAATCACCACTTACCAAGTAAACAAGAGAGAGGGAGTAGTAGAACACCTTAGCTTCCTTAAAAACTTCACCAAACAACTTACTAGCACCTAATAGAGGGATTTTATAGAGTAGAAACTAGTTTAGGCAATTGTTTTTGGAAGATTGAGCTAAATGGAAGCTAAAATGGTGAAGAGTTTCTTTCTTCTTTGCTCAAGAGAGAGCCGGCCATGGAGGAGAAGAAAAGAGTGAATTTTATTGATTTTTTTTGAGATATTTAACTCAATGGAAAAAAAGTCAAAAAGGTGAATAGTTGTCATAAGTCATATCCAATATAATGGTGACACTTGTCACCTTCATTAATGCAATCCTATCCTTTTTTTTTCTCTCACATCAATCAAATCTCACCCTCTACTTATCTCTTAACATCCGATAAATTTCCACCAGTATCCGGAATTTAACCTAATTGGCCGAATTTTTCCGAACTTTTCGCACTAGTGGGTCCCACGTCCATTATCTATTCTTAATTTCTTAAAAACTCTCCAATACTAGAAAAATCAATTGAAAATGATATTTGCTCATAAACTTTATCTGGGGAATTTTTCTAATCAAGAAAATGTAGAAAAGGCGGGCGATTAAATAAAATAAACCCTAGAAAATTAGAAAATTTCCGGGTTCTCAAACTCATTTTTTTCGGGGCGTCACAGAATGTTTCCTTCATAGGTCATGTAATTTCGAAGGAAGGGATTGCAGCAGATCCGGCGAAGGTAGAGGCAGTGACCGAGTGGAAGAGACCTGAGAGTCCAACTGAGATTCGAAACTTCTTAGGGTTGGCAGGTTACTATCGGCGATTTATTAAGGATTTCTCAAAACTTGCCAGTCCTTTAACCAATTTGACAAAGAAAAGTAACCGGTTTCTGTGGGATGCCCGATGTGAGCAGAGCTTTCAAGAGTTGAAGAAAAGGTTAACTATGGCTCCTGTTTTGGCCTTGCCTAACGGTAAGGACAGTTTCATTGTGTACACTGATGCTTCGAAGGAAGGCTTAGGGTGTGTATTGATGCAAAATAAGAACATGATAGCCTTTGCCTCTAGGAAATTGAAGACCAACGAGCAAAACTATCCCACTCATGATTTGGAGTTAGCTGCAGTTGTCTTTGCTCTGAAAAAGTGGAGACACTACCTGTATGGGGTAACTTTTGAAGTTTATTCCGATCACAAGAGCCTTAAGTACCTCTTTTCCCAAAAGGAGTTGAATATGAGACAACGTCGTTGGATGGAATTCTTAGAAGATTATGACTTCACGATCAACTACCATCCGGGTAAGGCTAACGTAGTAGCTGATGCCTTAAGAAGGAAGGCTCGAATATCTGGGTTAATAGTTAAGGAGTGGAAAATGTTAGAAGCTATTGGTGAATGGAACCCTATAATGGAAGGTAAGAAGATCACCTTTGGAAATATCCGGGTGACATCCGCCCTATTGGATAGAATCAAGGAGGCCCAAACTACAGATCCGATGGTTCAGAAGTGGGTGGAAAAAGTGAAGAAAGGAGAAATTCCTGATTTTACTCTAAGTCCCGAGGGAATTTTGAGATTTAGAAACCGCATTGTAGTACCTGAGGATGAGAATTTGAGGAGAGAGATTCTGGATGAAGCCCATCGATCGAAATACACCATCCGTCCGGGTAGTACTAAAATGTATCTGGATTTACGACGGTTATACTGGTGGGATAAAATGAAGAGGAGGATTGCTCAATACGTACAAACCTGTCTAGTCTGCCAGCAAGTTAAGGCCGAACACCAAAAACCTTCTGGATTACTACAACCTCTTGAGATACCTGAATGGAAATGGGAGAACATTACCATGGACTTCGTTTCCGGATTGCCTAGAACCCAAAAAGGACATGATGCCGTTTGCGTGATCGTCGATCGGTTAACCAAATCAGCTCACTTCGTACCTGTGAATATGAAGTATTCCATGGATAAGTTGGCTCGAGTGTATATGGAGGAGATTGTGAGATTGCATGGGGTCCCTGTAAGTATAGTTTCCGATCGAGACCCTCGTTTTGTGTCAAGGTTTTGGCAAAAGTTTCAGGAGACCTTGGGAACTAAACTGAACCTAAGTACCACTTATCACCCTCAAACGGATGGGCAGTCGGAGTGAACGATTCAGACACTTGAAGATATGTTAAGAATGTGTGTTTTAGACTTCGGAGGTAGTTGGGGTCAACATATGACATTAGTGGAATTCGCCTACAACAACAACTACCATTCGTCGATTCAAATGGTACCATATGAGGCTCTTTCTGGATGAAAGTGTCGATCTCCGTTATACTGGGATGAAGTAGGAGAAAAGAAGGTCTTGGACCCAACAGTTATCCCATGGATGGAGAAT